GGAAGTTGCATTTTCCATTTCAAACGTTGCCCCGGCATGGGGAAAAACAGAACTGTAAAATGTTTTAAGAAAAGAGAGAACTCTGAATCATAAAGATTGCACTAAAACCTAACCCAAAAGACATCTGGTAAGTTCAATGATGCAGAGCAGTGAGAACCCAGGGAGGTATGTAACAAAACTGGAGTAGCAAGAAACAAAATCCTTGTGTACAGAAAGCAGGAAGAAATTGTCTGCATACAGAAGACCAAACCCCCAAAGAAAGCACAATAAAAGAGGAGGAAAAATATATATGAAAACAACAGTTGGAACAGCTCAGAAAGAAAAGGCGGGTCATTGTAATTTCGTAAAGACCTGGGATTGAACTAAAAGTACCCCAAATTTTAGGACTTTCAATTGAAGGGGCAAAGTTACTCCTATCACACAGTATGTGTATTTTGTGCTCACAATGTTCAATCTATACACAAGATCTACACAGAGTCAGGCAAGCTTGCTAATCTTATGTTTGGCAGATGGGGGTGGTGGTGCTTTAATTGTCACTCTGTGAAGTTGGTCCAAACATCTGGATTCCACCACTTTGAGAAGACTTAAGAAGGGCAACACAACTGCAGTAGTTTCATCTTATATCAGTGTCTTTCAAACTTGGCATAGGTGAACTTCCAAGTCCCAGAATTCCCCAGTCAGCCTGGCTGGCTGCGGAACTCTGGGAGTTGAATTCTGCAGATCTTAGAGTTGCCAAGGTTGAGAAACGCTGATTCAGACCATCAAGCAGGTATACTTGGAAAGCAAAATGAAGATCTTTACATTTTAAAGTAATAATTAATTCCTTGCCAAAGGTAAAACTTGTGTCTCATGGCATGAGATCAAAGGTCAAAGGTGCTTTGCTTTCACACCTGAATGTACACTATGACCACACATTCACTGACTTTCTAAAAAAACAAAAAAAAGAGCAGATATCTTCACTCAATTCTGAGATTGCAAGGACAGACTCTGATAAATCAGTTACTCGGAAGAACAAATTTCCTTAGCTTTTATTAATAGCATAGCCAAGGGGCATGGCACCAAAACTGACAAAAAAAGTCTGCTTAAATTCTTCCTTCGGTGTTTTGCTGGCCTATGCATTTCATCATCCAGTTCTGAACAGGACGACAGCCCTTGTCCCAGTTTAAATAATGGAAATGTAAGGCTGTAAATCTTTATATATTAAGGACGATTACTCTTGAAACTTATCTATGCTAACACTGGAATTTTTTAAGGAGAGATTGGACAACCATTTGTCGGGAATGGTATAGGGCAGAGGTCTCATTCTCGCGGCCCAATTGCGGCCCGCAGGACGATATCCTGTGGCCCCCACCGTGATATGAAAGTATAATATTAGTGTATAATATAAATATAAAGTATAATATAAAGTATAATATTATGCGGCCCAGCCTCACCCAGACTCTGCGTCCAGCGGCCCCCAGGTAAATTGTGTTTGAGACCCCTGGAATAAGGTTTCCTGCCTGAGCAGAAGGTTGAAGGCCTCTACTCTTAGTTTGTTCTGTTATTCTGTTATTGACTTTGAAAGCTGTTACGTTCAACAACGGAGCTGGCATCTAGCAAGGGTGCACAGAAGCAAAGTCTTAGTACAGTACGTGGGAATTTTGTTACAAATAAGATGACTCTCTACTTTAAAAGCAGAAGGAAATTGATCAAGGTACACCAGTCAGTTTTAAGGTAGCTACGCTTCCTGTTTCAACACAGAAACTGTGAAAGTGCGAGAGCGAAAATATGCACTTCAGGTATTGCACATCATGGCTCCCATGTCTACCATTACAAAGCAAAATACAATATATTTACCCTATATACACACACTATGTTTTGAAAGCTCCTCCCAACAATATCAAGAACTCTTTCAAACGTTGCCCTTTGGTTATTTTAAAATCCCCTTTTGCCCCTGCTGAATTTATACTTCATGAACCACATTCTAATAGTTTCCAAATTCGAGGGAAAAATATGGAAGACGAAAGGTTGCACCAGTTGCAGCAAAAGATAGATGGGAAAATATTAGGATAAGCTTATTTTTGATCTCTACCAAACTTCAGACAACAACAATAATCTCCTCAGGGCAATTATAATTTATTCAAGACCTGAGATTTACAGAGATTAGAGATTAATAAAACAAAGATGACTCAATTAATCAAGCTAACAGATTCAATTGTATTACTTCCCTTAAGACTGGTTAGCATCTGAATCACTATGGGGAACCATTTCATAAAATGTTTGAAATCTAAAAGCATGTTAATAACCAATAAGTTGTTTCTAAAAACATTCAGAATGGTTATCTCTGGTTATTTGTCACAACTTGTCACAGACTGAATATCTAGGTTTAGACACAAAAAGACACTGAATGATTTGTGGGGTTCTTAAATCCCTGAGAACAAATAGAATCAAGACCGGATAGTGATAAGATAGTGATTCTTATCCATTCTAGTTCCTTTTTTTATGTTGTGCTACTAAATGTTTGTGTCCGTTGCCTACACAATAGGCTTGCTCCAGTGAAGGAAAGCCTTTACGCATGTGTAAGGGAAGGTTTGAAGATGATAGCCTATAAGTACCTATATTTATCTCTCTTGTATTCTCAGAGGTCAAGAGTTTCATGGCATTTTAAAAATTAACCTGCTTAACATAGCTCTTTTCACAAACTAAAGCATACCATCACTATTGGCACGAAGCATTTTTGTTATCTGGGTAATTTTTAGACATCAACACACAAACACACAAAAGCAGGTCAAAATGCAAAAAGAATCTTAAGGCTGTGATGTTTCTACCCAAAACTCAGGTTTGTTTAGAAAATATGCGAAGTGTCATTTATAACAGCAGAGCTGAAGAATCTTTCTTTTATCCTCACTTCCCCTCCCCCTTCCGTGTAAGGTGAGATGCTTTCTTTCTCACATCAACACACACATCTGCAAATATATAACATCGGAGAGATAGAAAGATGGAGAGATATTACACCTACATTCTTTGCTGTTTCCATGTTACTTTTTTTTCTACCAAAGCCCCTTGCAAGCTGTGCACTTCCTAGGATGTACCCCAATGGAAGATACAAATAAAGAATTGTAATCACTGATTGTGGTCAGCAAATGGATGTTAATGATGAAGAAGTGCCATAAGAAAAGGATCAGACGAATGGATCAGGGAGGACATGAAAGCAGGTTAAGAGGCCAAGGACTTAAAACAGAAAGTTGAACATCTGGAAGAATGTCATGACGGTCAGCTATTTCATAATGGAAAAGATTACCTTGGGAAATACAGATGTTTAAACAGAGACTAGCCAGGCACTTGTTAAGCAAAGGGCAGGAGTGGGACTTGATCGCCTTTCCCTATTATTTTAGATTGGAAGAATTTCCTAAGCCTGTGAGACTAACCATGAACTAGGCTGCCTCAGGAGACAGTGAAGTCTCCTTCAGTCCAGATGTTTAAACAGAAACGCTTCAATATGATGGCAGCGGTCCATATTCGAGGGGTTGCCACAAGGAAGAGTTGGTCAACCTATTTCCCAAAGCACCTGAAGGCAGAACAAGCAGCAGTGGATCTTGAAATGAAACTAATCAAACCAAGCCAGATTATTATTATTAATTATAATTATTATTGCATTCCAGCCCTCTCCAGAGATATTGGCCTACCAGGGCAACACTTAACAGTGGGGAGGATGGATGCTGGAGCCTTGGGGAAAGGGTCAGTGCAAGGTTCCAAGCTGGTGGTGGTGGTGGTGAACCATAATAGGAAAGGCAACCAGAGAAAGAAAAAACACCCACCCACCCCCAATGAACTATATCTTTCTTTCTCTTTTTCTTTCTTTCTTTCTTTTTCCTTCCTTCCTTCCCTCCCCTTCCCTTTCTTGGATTTATATGGCTATATTTATTTATTTACTTACTTATTGGACTGATATGGCAATAATATTTATTTATTGGATTTATAGGGCTATATTTATTGATTTGGATTTATTGATTGGCTGGACTTATTGACTGGATTCCTTTGGCCGTTCAGTCATTTTCAGTGACCGTAGGCAGCTTACACACCATAAAACTCCCTTTGGATGACCGTATATAATCTCAATATAAAAAGAATACAAGCAATAACACCACTACCACCTCCCCCACACAATGACACACACACACACTCAACCTCGCAACAACCATCAATCAAATGAGCCCCTTTGAAGGTCTCCATCCCCCTCTGGGGTCATTTCCCCCCCCCCACTCCCCAGGCCCAGAATGGTTGAATCCATGAATCCCAGAGAGACAGAATAGAGAATAGAGAATAGAATAGAACAGAATAAAATAATAGAAAGAATAGAACAGAACAGGAATAGAATATAGAATAGAATAAGGAACAGAATAGAATAGAATATAGAACAGAATGGAATAAAATATAGAATAGAATGGAATGGAATGGAATAGAATAGAACAGAACAGGAATAGAATAAAGAATAGAATGGAATGGAATGGAACAGAACAGAATAAAATAATGGAAAGAATAGAAGAGAAGAGAACAGGAATAGAATATAGAATAGAACAGAATATTCTTTATTGCCCAAGTGTGATTGGACACAGAAGAGATTTGTCTTATAATAAATAAATATAAATAAGGATAAACTGGGGGGAAAACCGAATTCAAAGAAAAGCTGCTGATGTCACCCACCCCCTCGACCGAAACCCGCCTCGCCGGTTTCCTTGCAGGGGCTTCAGACCCCCACCCCACTTCCCCCCCCCCGGCCTTTGAGGGCTCACAACAACCCTGCCAGGTAGGCCAGGCTGAGCGGGGGGGGGAGAAAGGGGGGTCATGGCTGCGGGTGGGGGGGGCAATCCAATCCCCGCCCCTCCTCAAACGCGCTTTCTCCCCCCCGCCCTGCCTCTCTCCCTGAGAAGGGGGTCTTTCCGCCCCTCCCGGCTTTAGGGGCTGGACTAGAAGACCTCCAGGGTCCCTTCCAGCTCTATTTTTGATTGATCGATTCTCACCTGGCCCTGCCGGGGGCAGCGGAGCCGCCTGCCCGCTGCCCAGCCACAAGCAGAAGAGTCTGAGGCCGCCCCAGCCCAGCCCGGGGAGCAGCAGCTGGCCCGACATCCCTCCGCCGCCTCAGAGGAGGCTCCAGCCGAGTCCTCAGCGCGGCCAGGCCTGTCTCGCCTCAGCCCGCGGGGCTCCTCGGAGGGGCCGGCATGGGTTCCCGCCGGAGAACGACGGCGCAAAGCAGCAGAAGGAGGAGGAGAAGGCCGAGGAGGGAGGCCCGCTGGAGCCGCCGCCGTTTCCCTCACGCGGCACGGCCGGCAACGGCGCCTCGCCTCGTCCCCGCCGCCGCCGCCGCCGCCGCCATCTTCCGGGTTACCTGAGAGAGGGCGACGCGGGGATTGGTCGCCGGAGACGGATTGGCTGGCCGGCGCGCCAATCGGCGCGGGATCCGCTCCCCGAGGAGGCGGAGGCGCCCCAGCGCGGCGGGGGTGGGAGTCCGCCGTGGAGTGACAGCCGCGTCGCAGCCAACCGGAGGCGTGAGCCCTCCTCCTCCGCGTTAAGACAGCAGCGCGTGAGGAGGGGTGGGGGAAGAAGGTGAAGCTGCAAGAGGCGGGCTTTGGCTGTCCAGATTGGCAGGAGAAGCGAGCAATTAAAATGTTGCACCTTTTTTTTTTTTTCATCTTCACTCCAAGGAGGGAGGGGACAGTATAGAGTTGGCGGCTGAGATTTATAATTGGCAAGAGGCGCCACCAATCGGATAAGAGCGAGGGCGGGCCTGGAACGGAAAAAAAAAGGCTTTTTAAGACTGTCCTGGTTCAAACCTTCCAAATGCGCTCTGTGCATGCTCAGGGGTGTGTGTGATGTTTTATTTCTGCACTTTATTCTACGGCTAATTTCCTTAATAAGCTTGATTTTTAAAATAAATAAATAAAGCAAATGATAAGTGAAGGGAGATTTGCAGACTTGGAAAACATAACACAGAAGGAAAGGATAAAAGGAAAAATTCAAAACACCCATTCTTATCGTTTAACTCTTTCTCCTTATCTTAACTGGTGCCTGCGAGAGCTTGGAGTTAAGGGTAAAGTGAATGACTGGTGTTCTTTGAGTCACGGCCCCTGTCCCAATTTCTATCTTGGGACAACCTGACATATAAATAAGATGATAAATTAAATGAATAATAAAATAAAAATAGAGCAACTAAGATGATCAAAGGCCTGGAGACTAAACCGTATGAAGAACTGCTGCAGGTTTTTGGGTCTGCCTAGTCTAAAGAAAAGAAGAATTAGGGGTGACATAACAGTAGTGTTGCAGTATTTTAGAGGCTGCCACAAAGAGGATTTATTTTCAATTTATTTTCCAAAGCACCAGAAGGCAAGACAAGAAACAATAAATGGAAACTAATCAAAGAGAGAAGCGACCTGGAATTAAGGAGAAACTCCCTAAGAGGGAGGGCAATTAACCGGTGGAACAATTTGCCTTCAGAAATTGTGGGTGCTCCGTCACTGGAGGTTTTTAAGAAGAGACTAAACAGTCACTTATCTGAAATATTATAGGTTCTTCTGCTTGAGAAGGGGGCTGGACTGGATGACCTTCAAGATCCCTTCCAGCTCTATTCTATTCTAATTAAATATTAGTCTGTGATTCTTGAGTACAGTACTCAATTTGGCTAATTCTGCATATATTTGCCCAGGAGGGGAAAAAAAACTGTTACATAAGCTGCACTGTAATGGATTTAATATTTCTTGGGCGGGCGGGGGAAATAGTTTTCTCTTTGTGAAATCAATTGGAGGCACAAGCCTGCGTACCTTTCCAAGACCAGCCAAACCCAGCTAAATGCAAATTAAACTTGTTCAAATTATACAGCAGCGCAAGTTAAACTGGTTACTGAACAGAGCCTTCTTATTATAAAAGAGCAAATGACCATATTCCTTGGTATTTGTGTGGTAAACATCCTAGGAAGTGGTTTGAACCCGTTGCTATGAAGCTCCAAACCCTTTATTTTAAATTACAGATAGTCCTTGACTTACAGCAGTTTTGTTTAATGACTGCTCAAAGTTACAACAGCACTGAAAAAAGTGACTTAGGACTGTTTTTGACGCTTATGACCACTGCGGCATCTCCTCGGTCACGTGATTAGAATAGAATAGAATAGAATAGAATAGAATAGAATAGAATAGAATAGAAAATAGAATAGAATAGAATATAGAAGAGATGAGAAAATAGAAGAGAAGAGAATAGAGAATAGAACAGAAATGGAAAAAGAATAGAATAGAATAGAATAGAATAGAATAGAATAGAATAGAATAGAATAGAATAGAATAGAATAGAATAGAATATGATGGTTGCAATGTCCCAGGGTTATGTCATTCCGCTTTGCGACCTTCCGACAAGCCGAATCAATAGGAGAGACAGATTCACTTAACAACTGTAATTTTAACGACTTGCAGTGCTTCCCTTAACAAAGGTGGCCAGAAAAGTTGCAACCTGGGGCAGAAGTCACTTAACAAATTTGTCCCTTAACAACATACATTTTGGGCTCAATTGTGGTTGTAAGCCAAGAACTAGCTCTACTCAAGGACTGAGTGAGTCCTTAGCGGTTTAACAGAGGCATTCTCCCTGGAAGCTCCGTTGCTTATTTCCCCTTTCCTTCTCTGTATTTCAGGTAGACTCAGCCAGGCTCTCTACAAAAAGGAGAAATACTTAAAAAAAAAAAAACAAGCAGAAGAAGAGAGGGGGAAAAGAGAGAAAGAAAAACATCCCACCTCTTGTTCAAGATCCAATTAACATCCTCTAAAAAAAGATTTTTTTTTCCAACACTTCCCACGCCAAGCAATTTGCGTAAGCCTGCTGGTGACAATAGCGGTGCATAATTAAGAAACCTGCAGCTGTTTGGGTTAGATAACCCAATTTTTGGTACGAAGGGGAAAAAAAATAATTCCTGTATTTCAATACGAAAGTGGCTTGTTCGAAAAGCTTTTCTATGGGTTAAAGCACCAGTTTAAATCTGTTTTCATCTCTCACTTTAAAAAAAAAAAATGTTTATTTACAGTTTTCCTTCCACAGCATACATATTTTGTGGACACTGCGTTGACTGGGCCAATGTCCTTTTTAAACAATGCTAACAATGACAATACAAATAAGTATATATAATCCTAATCTTCCAACGTCAACAATACCATTCTCTCTTGATAATTCTTTCTCATTTTTTCCATTACTTCATTTAAACGTTTCTTTTCACCATCCCCTATTAAGTCACTTATATTTAATATTTTAAAAATTACTCATTATTACACCATACTTTCAATATCCTCATATAACCCAAACTACTAATCAGACCAAATATTAACCAAAGTCAGTCAATCCTGGGATTATATCTCAAAATCCCTGCAATTTCTAATCCTTAAAAGTTTTAAATTCAACAATATATTTTAATGCACTGTTAATATTAATAATACAACCCACTTTTAATCATGCTGGTGTTCTGCGACTATTACTACAGAGATTCAACCTGGAAATAAGGAGAAACTTTCTGACAGTGAGGACAATTGACCCATGGAACAGAAGTTGCCCTCGGAAGTTGTGGGAGCTTCATCCCTTGAGACCTTCAAGAAGAGATTGGACTCCCATCTGTCAGAAATGGTGTAGGGTTTCCCGCTTGGGCAGGGGGTTGGACTAGATGACCTACAAGGTGCCTTCCATCTCTGGTTATCTGTTATCTGTTAAGTTGTGGATCTGTTAAATTGACTGGACTAATGTTTCGCTTAGCAATAGAAATTTCGGGTTCAATGGTGGTCCTAAGTCGAGAATTACCTGTACGGATGCTTTGTCTGAAGGCGCAATCGTTTATTTTAATTTTATGCAGGAATAAATTGCACTGATTATCAGCAGAATAATGAAGTTTTGGCTCTGCCTTAGTCTGTTGAATTGCTTTTATTCTTCAGCAATGCCCCAGGGTCACAAGGCAGACATTTTAGGAGAGAGAGAGCGAGGGGGGAATTAATTAAAATAATGACCTTTAATGGCTAGGAAAGAGTTCATATAATTTAATTCTCCAATGATTTCGCCTGCCTCAGAATTGGCTTTTTATCTAAGGATGAGTCAGTGCAATGGTTGGATTCAAAAAATTTTACTACCGGTTCTGTGGGCCTGGCTTGGTGGGCATGACGCGGCTTGGTGGGCGCGGCAGGGGAAGGTTACTGCAAAATCCCCATTCCCTGCCCACCCCACTAACCTGCTTTCCAGCTCCGTTCTCCTGTGCAGGGCAACCAAAGAAGACCCAGCCGATCAGCTGGGACTCGATGGGAGGCAAGGAATAGATGGGGTTGGCGGGGCCAGTCAGAGGTGGGATTGGCCGGGTCTCCAAACTACTCAAAATTTCCACTACCGGTTCTCCAAAACGGGTCAGAACCGGCTGAATCCCACCTCTGAGTTAGTGCCCGGCCTGATTAACTGCCGTAGGAGCATGAGTGTATGCTAGAAGCCATAATGATGCCATCTTTGTCGTGACATCATCATGCACGCGATGCCCCATTGACACAGTAATATCTTACCGCGTGAGAGATCCTTCCTCCTTCTAAGACAACGTTTTTCAACCTTGACCAAGTTTTTTAAGAGGGGTGTACTTCCAAATTTTCAATAGGGTCCTTGGTGCTCTCTGAGCTTGGCTGGTCTCTTGCAGACGTTGCAGGACCCGACTAGGTAACAGTATCAGTGTGAAGGGGTGTAAGGTTTGTTCCCCCACTCCATAGTTTACGTACAATAGCTTGCCCTGCCAATGTCGATGAGGGTGTGGTTTTCTCCTTGCTAATTCCTTGATTAGGGTATTGTGTTCTGCTTGATTGTTTCTCTGGTGTTAATCCTTGCTTATCTAGGGTATTGTTTTCTGCTTGATCGTTTGTCTGGTGTTAATCCCTGCTTATCTGGATGTTGATTGCTAGAGTTGGGGTTTTGTTTGTTTGTTTCCTTAAGGAGTCTCGCAATCTAGCTAGATATGGTTTTATTTTTTTCCATTATGCCATGCAAACCCAGGAGATTATTTTGAGACGTAAGCGAAGGCAGCAGAAATTATAGAGAAGAGAGCTGGTGAGTAAATATAAATAACCCACCTTATCTGGATTTGGAAGCTAAGCAAGATTGGATGGGGTTAATCTGTAGGTGGAAAACGGGGCTCCGTCGAGAAAATCATTTGGCAGAATGGAAATAAACTTCTTTTTCTCGGAGACGATGGATCGAGATGGATTGATGGATGGATGTCATGATATCTGGTGTGCTGGCGAATTTCCCTGGGCCGTCCCGCAGACGAGGGAGGCCGAGAGTGTTTTTGCCAGCTGCGAATTAGTGAGAGCCTGGAGCCAGATCGCCAC